ACCAGGGAGCCGTGAAGCTCCAACTGAGGCCAGCTCCGAAGTGAGGGTCTTCATTCCTCTGGACCATGTCATCGCTTGGCCACCTCTCCTCTTCTTCCACCTACATCCCCGGTGAGCAAACAACGCACGTAGAGGGAGTCGGTGGGCTGGCATGCGCAACACGTGGCCCAGCCATCGGAGCCTGGTGAGTGAAATGACGGTGCTGAGCGGTTCATTCCCTTTTCCTAGGCCGTAAACAAGGCGTCGAACACGCTCGTTACTCACGCGGTGTTCCCACCAGATGTGAGCCAAACTGCGAAGGCACCGATGGTCGAACGTAAGTAGCCTCTTCATGTCCGCCGATCTTAGGGGCAAGGTTTCGCAACCGTACAGTAAGGTCGAACGTACCGCTGCATTGTACACTCTAACCTTCAGGGCGAGAGTAATGTCGCGCCGTCGCCATAGGTGGCGAAGGTTAGCAAAAGCACTTCGAGCTTTCGCTATGCGGTTCGTGATCTGTTGAAGTGTATCAGCTACTCGTCAACCTCGATGGTGCAAAGCCCCCCGGACCAGACGGACTTCATCCATTACTAATCAAGTCCCTATCGATTATCATCTCATCAGCCGTAACAAACATATTCACTAACTTACTCTCTGAAGGATCTGTCCCCAACGACTGGAAATGTTCGATGGTGAGACCGCTTCCAAAGGGTGGTGATCCGAGTAAAACTATAGACCGATCTGTTTGACTTCGATATTATCCAAAGTTCTCGAGAAGGTTGTGAAAGTGTCCGCTGTCATTCTTCGAATCGATGGACGTATTGACACCAGCGCAACACGGCTTTACGAAAGGGCGATCCTGCATCAGCAACTTGATGTACGCAAACTATCAGTGGGTACGAGCTCTCAATAAACTGAAGGATGTTGACGTGGTATACATCGACTTTAGTAAGGCGTTTGACAGAGTGAACCACGAGGTACTTCGTAAACTGAGGACATACAGAATCGGTGGTACGCTACTTCAGTGGTTACACGAGTTTATTGTGGGACGAAAGTTTAGAGTACAGGTCAATGACTACTTGACAGGCTGGTTCCCATCGACCAGTGGCATGCCTCAAGGAACTGTACTTGGGCCAGTATTATTTCTTATTCATATCAACGATCTTCCGCAGCAGTTCCAGTCACCATATACCCTGTTTGCAGATGATTTGAAAATCTGGAGGATCATTGAGAACCAGAAAGACTGCGCTCGCCTCCAGCATGACTTAGAGCGACTGACAACGTGGTCAACTGAAATGCAACTCCCTCTTAACGCAAGCAAGTCGGAGTTCATCAGTATCACCAGACGTCCAGCCACTCGATCATACACCTTGGACGGCCAGTTGCTCCATCCCAACACATCTGTCAGAGACTTAGGAGTTCTCTCACGACATGATCTGAGATCACTAGAAAATACAGAGAAATTGTACCGTACGGGACTTCGTATGCTCTGGGTATTAAGACGCAGTTTCTCCACATGGTCCGAAGAAACCGTCCCTCGTCTATTCACCTCGCTCATTAGACCAATCCTTGAATATGGTGCTCCAGCTTACCATCCGATAACCCAGTGGGAAACTGAAAAGCTAGAGAAAATGCAGCATATCGCAACTAGAATGATACCGAGTCTACGAAAGCTTCCGTATGAAAAACGTTGTGAATGGCTCGGACTTTACACACTATCCTACCACCGAGTAAAAATTGACCTTATTATGACCCATTGAGTACTACACTTGAATCACTTCCCCATACTGCGGCCTGCGGGAACCATGTAACACCCGACGACACCGTTACAAACTCAGGGTCCCGAAAATGAACAAAGTATCACATCAGGTTTGTACAGAACGAAGAATCGTAAACTTATGGAACACACTACCCGAAAGATTAATGGAGGCCGATTCTGTGAAGTGTTTTGAAACACGTATCGACGATTATTTCGGAAACCTGTGCTTTTGTGAAACGATGCACATACAATGCCAAAAGAAGCCATCGTATACTCGGAAATAATGACACCAATACGAATTCCTAACCGAACAAGGATAAACGATTAACGGACCAAACACAACCGCTGACGATTCATAATTAAAAGTTATTGATTTTTCACAATTCGATAGAGTTGCCCAGAAACCTTTCTATTTGCTCTTAACTACAGTCTCAGTCTCCGTGTCATTTTCACCCATTTTCAGTAACGCAACATCCCACTCTTCTGATTTTTGTGAAAAAACATCAGGAGTGCTATCAAAAATTAAACGAAAATGCTTGTTTTCCCTGAAATGATCTATGATTTTCTCCGTCACCTGCTTTGCTAAAAGACACACAAATTCATTTGTACTTCTGGAGACAATTGAGAATTGTTGGTTCGCTTTCTTAGCTGAAGTGTCACCGAATGTTCCCGAAGAAGAACACGGTCAAATATGACCAATCTATGAACCAATTCCAAAAAATCCCCTCTATTTTCCAGCTATCTTTTATCACAATGGATGATTCTCGGTGACCAAGCAATGCCATGTTTCACCTTGCGAGAAACCTGACGATATCTGGCAATCTGGCTAGAATTCCACGCCACTGCTTTGCTTCCTTTTCTACAAATAATAGCTGCATTTTGTCAATTGCATTTCCTTTAAATAGCCGGATCGCTGGCTTCTCCCTGTTGAGGAATGACTGTGAAGTGTTCGTCCCTCGCCTGAATGGACGCTTGATTCCCAATCAAACCCGAACACCCTGGCTCTCCACAGGACAGCGAGAAGGCTGGATCAGGACGAGCAGAGCAACAGGAATGAATTAGCAAATCACACCGTTCATTATAAAGGTAAATTGGAAAATTCGTGAACAGTATATGTAAAGCGACCGTGGAAAGCTCTGGAAAGGTTAACTTACAGCCAATAAAAAAACTTCAACCTAGCGTTCATTGGCCGCTTCTCCTGGTTGGCTCTCTGTTCGCCCCAATCAGGACGGATGGGTTTGGATAGCCGGCCGAGGCGATGGGGTCCCGGCTTGTTCGACTCGTGTATTCCTTCCTAACAGACTGGACACACGATTTTCTAGCTTCGTGTTCACATGCTTTTGGATTTAGCGTCCACCAATGGAAAAACTAAACTATCCCGTTAAAGACGGCCTGCAGTGGAATCCACAGAGCCTCTTTTGAAGGAGAATACACCATGGGTGTCGCAAGCTTTGATCACCGTTTCACAAATTCCGAAAATCACCCGGTAGTTGTTAGATCCTTAGTCTCAGATTTGCATTCGTTCCAGGTAGTACCAATTAGTAAACACATGATAGATTTGGTCAAACTCTCTTCCTTCAACTAGCCAGATCGCTAGCTCCTTGCTGTTGAGGAATGACTGAGCACACGATTTGCTAGCTTCGTGTTCACATGCTTTTGGATTTAATTCCTATCAATTTTGAAACGCTCATCAGACGAAAAACTAGACTATCCCGTTGAAGTCATCCAGCAACTGGAACAAAACAGGGCCTCTTTCCAAGGAGACGACACCAACTGTGTCCGAAATTTTCGCACACCATTTCGCAAATTCCGAAAAAACCAATACCTTATCAGATTCCTAGCCTCAGCATTTGTATTAATTCTAGGTAGCACCACTCAATGAATTCATGATCTAGATACTGCATGACAGCAGATTCGAACCGGACAAGCATAGTGCGCATTTCATGGCCAATCTGAACAGGCCAATGACAGATATTCGTAATATAGTGCGAAAGTATGGTTATATTTCCCATTCGAGAAACTTTGCGCGCATCTTCTGCATCAGCATTATAAGCAGTTCCTGCTGCATCCATAATGACAATAACGATTTATGTTGCCCAGCTGTCAAACGTTTGCAGTACTAATTTCATCTTCGGTTTCAGTAATTCATCCTTCATATTGCAATTGCAGCCACGTAAGTAACTTTGCGGAATTTACACTTGGTATGAAAAGAATGCCGCCCGGGGCAGACCGCCCTACCCCGCCCCCCTATGCTACGCATCTAGCAGCATGAGAGATTTACTTCGAAGAGCTTTCAAGAAAAACCCAATCCAGTGCCCGTTTTAAGGGTGGCGAAAAAAGTGGTATTCATAAGGCTGCCTTTCGAATGACACGCGGCTGCCGAGCGCATTGCAAAATTAGCTACATTCAGCATATCAGTTAAAGTGTACATGTTCAACGGGATCATTCTTCGCATATCAAACAAGGACCCCTCACCGTTAACGACCATTTCCATGATTATTTATCAGCTCGAGTGTTCTTGTTGTGCGAAGCATTTCAGTCGAAAGACGTGACACAAATCCCCGGTTTTCAGGTAAGTCCCCATTCTCTCCCTCTTCTTATTCTTTATTTCATAAGTCCTCATGGTTGTATGGCAGCGAAGCATCAGTTCAAATGGCTGATGTACTGCTGTTGATGATGATGATATTAGATAGCTACCTGCAACTGAAATAACGCCAGGGGCAGCAGCACGCGAGCTGTCCTCGAAGATGAAGCATAGTGTAGTAGTCAAAAGGGCTGCGTGCAGGACGGATGCCCTGAAAAACAGCTTTATCTCTTTCAAAGCGAAGGATGAGCGAGTGAGATGCATCGACCACCCGGGAATCCCTCCATGGTAGTCGCCGTGTTTCCGCGCTGTTTGCATGGGTGGCACTTTTCGAAGTACAAAGGGCAAATCCTTTGCACGATGCAGTCGGTGAACGAAATATAACAGATAAAAAGGTACAAGAAAAGGTGTTAGCGCTACATATCCGTATGGTGTATTGGTGCATCAATGTTACGCAACTGCAACCGGTTGCACAAGTGTTGGGATACCGCATGGGCGCTTAAACCTAAGCAAGGGGCTACAATTTAGGGTGCATGAGCTCCTCGTCAGAATACACATCGGACGTGTCGATCCGTGAGAGAGGGAAATATAATCAAATTTGACGATTCTGGTCATCAGAAAATTGTGATCGGCATTCAACGGATAGAAAACACAGATATCCCCAAGCAACCAACATACCTGGTACTCACTGTCGCCAAAATCGTCCAGTTTGTCAGTTGCGGAGTCCAACATAGGTCCCAGGGAGAGATAGCCTTGTATTCTTTCGTCTCGCGACTTCAGTTCTAAAAAGAGACGAGGCACATGGTGTGAACAGATCGTTGTAAATGAGGTTCTCACACACCAGCTTGCAAGTCAAACGAATAAGTCGTTCAAAAATGAATGACAGCCATGAGATTAGCGGTGCAGGCTTCATTATTGACAGAGAATGCATAAACATCAAAATCGCAAGGTTTTACTCTCTACCTGACTAGAATTGTGCGGCCTGTGTGACATACGATGAAGTACTGCGGTTTCATACTCGGCCGCTTACGTATAATATGTAGCAAAAAACATGGAAAATAGCTGGCGGTCTGTTACAAGACTGATCATAGAACGCTCTTGCATAATGAACGACAAAGACCGATGATGCCACATTCAAACAGACCACCATTTGCAACATTGTACGTTCTAGTAAACACGTGATCTGCAAAGCCCTCACGTTGCAAAACTCCTCCACCTGTCCCCTCCGACTGCCGGGCGAAAGATACGTTCGAAATTCTATTCAGTGCGGCATGCCCATATATGGAAGAAGTTGCCATGACAAAGGACAAGCGATGGCCTATCCATATAAGGAATCAATTTTGGAACTTATCTTACCACGCCAAAAATAATGCACTCGATATCCAGCCGCTTACAGATGCGCTGATAGAATTTGTCAAACAATCTATGAGAGATGCAAAAATAATACGCAGCCAATACAATCTGTTCCTACGGCCGAGTTCCCTCTCTGCAAAATACCTTACATTTATCCAGCCACTTTAATCTACGGAAGCCTCGTGCTGAAGGCCTTGTACTCACAAGGCAGAAGCCAAACGTGAGCTCACTATTCCACTTGTCTTGCATTCGCCAACTATATTCCTAACACGAGCTCCGTCTGTTCCTTGTCTATAAGGACGTAACCTGCCTACCAGTTGCATCACATTCTATTCGCATACCTTTGTCAGAATGGTCGGAAGTGATGTTGCGACTCGAGGAGTACTGCCTGCGGACACCATCTACAGGGACCGTGGGTCACATGCTCAGTCAAGTTAGCGACCACACATGAGTCCTTCCACTTATCCTTCCCGTATACACCTTGGCCATTCTTCTGCAGTCCGAGGCTGCACACTGATACAGTTATATTCTGAGGTCAGTAGTAGAAGAACATATTTAACCAAGTGAACACAACCGCATTTGTGCTATAGTGGAGGTAAGAATACTCCACCGCTCCCCGTTGTTTTGTGAGTTTTGCCCCACCCACCCCTACTCACCCTACCCTATCTTCCGGTTCCTCGCATACGTTCACTTTTGCCTCACATTTGTGATTAGCTTGTATGGACACTGAAGCTTACGGTTATTCGCTTTTACTTTGTGAATTTCGTTCGTTCGTGAGGCAACTTATCGATCCCCCGCTTTTTGAACTGTCCAGTATTGACTGATCGAATGTCAGCCTTTCCGCATAGCCTGTGATATGCCCTAATTTGAATATTGTGATTATGTTGCACAGACAGACACTTGGTGGCCGGTTTGGCTTGCTACGTGACCATTGTTTGTTGCTCGGTCGTTGGTGTTCTCACTACCGTTAGTGGGTGGAAGCAGTCGTGGGGCTCCGACACAACAATTTGTACTGATGTAAAACTAGACTGACTTTCTACTATCATCTCCGAATGTTGTAGTAGGCCATGCAAAGCTGCGCTAATTTCGTTCTGTACAAATGATCGTTAGTGAATTTGGAACGTGTCCACCGTGTCGGAAATCCTACTCATTTATGTATACAACCATCTTGATGTTAATGCCACACAATTGTTACCTCTAATTTGCGCGTAAAAATAGAATGTTATGACACCAAATGCCATTTCCGTTGCAGGACAACGGAGAAAATGATGCAACTCATACTGTGTGTGCGTGTGACTCAGATTGTCCGAAACTATTCCCAGCGCAGTGGGAAGTCAAAGCGAACGGTGCAGGTACAGGAAAAGCAAGTTGCCGAGCCACTCTAAATGATTATTGTACGGCAGGGATAGTCATAGGTTCACTGTCCGCTAAACGAAACATGGTGCCAAACAAGCCAGCAAATTGTTCAGGGGTCATTGTCGTTTAGGTATGGGGATAAATGCCGAAAGAATTCGCATTACGTGCCAAACCCAGGTTGCACTGATGGTAATTCAACGATCGTGTGCATAAAATAGCAGTCGCAGAGAACTAATGGAACTCATGATTACCAGAAACCTTCGTATTGTACCAAAACGTTACTCTGGAACCAGTTGCTGTCGAGAGAGTGTCCCTCTACAGCAAATGGAATAAATGATTTTTCAACAAGTCTTCATCAGATACTTGGACTTATACCCAAATTAACTGAACAGAAAGACAGAGTTGGCTGGTTAATTTTAAAGAAGGGGCTATGCTCGGGAACTGGGTAAGGAAGATTTCTCTATGTGCCGGAGTGGCAACATGCATATGTTTTCACCGCAAACTCAAGTAGCTGTGCTGAGGTATCGCTACTATGAATCCGCAAACGGTCACTCATGAGTTGACGCTAAAACCATGAAGTAATAGGAGCTCGGATTCGGTAGTAGGACGTCGGAACCACTGCACTACGAATTCCTGGTTTCAAACGGATTTCTCAATGTGAGCTGGTAAACAAGCAGGAACGAGATGCCATCAGCATCCGCATCAGATTAACAAAGTCAGTTGTACGTAATAAGGTTAAACGCCGCGGAGTTAGGATTCAAGAGTGGCAAAGAAACATGGTCATCAGTAGCTCAACCTTAGGACTGCTTGTGTTTCAATCAGTGGTTTTGTACGAACTTCGATTTACCACCAGACTACATACTAAGTGAAGGAGGGTCAAGTAGTAATCAACCAATCAACAAAGAGGGCGGTATCATTTATGAAGGATTGTGGGCCAAACTTAATTGATAAAAGTGCGACAGAATAGAGAATAAATGTCCACGCAGTTGTACAACTGGCGCGACGCGTAACGTAACATGCCCAATAAGGCACCACGGCTCAACCGCTCAATGAACAAAGACCGCTGACCTGTGGATCGGAGTAGAGAGCACAACGTGCACGCATTTATCAGCTGCTTCGTGATGCATTGAGAAAACTACTGCACAACATTCGGTACCCTGATTTACAGCCTAGGATATTAAAGAAACCTGTTAGGTGAATGGATGCAGGAGGCAGACTGGATGCTACGATTGACCTCATCTACTAGGCTGAGGAACGTGGCAACAAGTTTCAATAACACTTATATGAATCCCTCACCTCTGTGCTATGCCCCGATTGCAGGGGAAATCGCGACTTGATCTCCTGATCGCGAGTCAAAGTCCCGCAACAGTATTAAAATCTTAGTGGTCTACAAACTGTAAGCATGAGACGAAGGTGAGAAACGACCGATAAGAAACAGTTTTGATGGAACGCTAGCCTAATTGAGGTTGGAGTGGACCAAGCCACGTGTCCTCGGTGGAAACAAACACGCAACCGCCGACATACAGTCGTACAATCATTGAACGCATCAAATCTTGAAGAATGCTCCGGATAAGCAAGAGCATGGGTGTTCGGACCACAAGAGTTAAAATACAACGATTACATGTGCCCCGATGACACCCGAAGAGGAGAAGCATTTCGACAGCGTTCTTGCAGGAGCATTTCAGAGTAGAGCGCACGACAGAGCAGTACCGTGAGGCAGGTTCTGCCAAGGCCAATAAAATGGTAATATACCCAGTAGCTTTTTGCCATGCGGGTGATGGAAACAAGAGCAACAGATAGCTTCTCATAGTCATCAACTGCAGACGCACTTCAAAAACGTGTACCGGTGTTTCGTTCCCATTCAACCTTTACACCTTAGCTAGAGGTGTGAAACACCTCAGCTACTGTGCCGCAATACATAAGAAAGAAACAGGTGCACACAAGCTGAGCTACCAGCAACAGACGGGCATTGTTCCGGAAAGCTACCAGCCGGCTACTATGACGTGAAAAAATTTTATCAAGCCAATTTTGTGTTATGCTAAAAAAATGGGATCACGATTGGTGGGGGTGCTAAGAGGAATGGAGAGGGACAAAGAAAGTTACAACACGAACGCCCATTCAACTTGCAAAAAACGAATGGTTATAAATAATAAGAAAAGAGACAGCTGGCGTACAGTAGCTTTAATGATCGAAGCAAACAAGCAGTGGCATCAGAAGTATGTCGGTACGTAGTACCGACGCTTCGCTGCCGTGCAATCACCACCGGTCGCATGTGGGCTAAAGAAACCATGAGGATCGCCCGGTCCTTATGTAGGCTCGAACCCGCGCTCTCGGATTACAAGGCAAGCTTGTAATCCTTAAGGCTACGGATCGGCATATAGCAAATATATAACGCCAAGGGAAATACATCTTATCAACCCTACAAAGTCACACGCAAATGGTCACTGAGCGAAAAGAAAACGACAAAGCCTAGACATATTCCACAAAGCCCTAAATGCCCAGTGTCACAAGCAAGCTTACAAAAAACAGCTATGTGGTCAAACAACCATTGAACAGGTAGTTTGGCTAGGTGATAACATCGAACACGCCACAAGTGCTGGTTGCGAGCCATTTTGTAGAGTATCGAGCCATGCGCAAAGCGAGCTGCGTAAACGAGACGGACCCGTATGTGACCACAATTCTCGGTGCAGAATCAGTGATTTCCGATCACCAAACGTAGGTCATATGGCGAGCAAACAAATTGATGTGACATTACCATATATCATCGATGTCAGAAAGCAAAGCTAAAGAGGTAAGCTAAGAGCGATTACTTCTTCGTCAAGATTATACGGTAATAAAAGTGAGAAGAAACAACCTAATATACCATTTCAAGTGAGAACACAGTGTCAAATGGTGGACCATTTATTCAAAGTCGTATGAACTTGCTGACTATGTTCGCATCTTTCACATCTGGTGGTTGGTCATTGCAGATGCAACAACTGTACCACTTTCTTACGCGGGCATAGGTGGAGTTTGTATCAACCATGGGTAGATCGCATCTGCAGTAGCAAATAGCCTTGCTCTTGACCAAGCACTGTGCAATGATAGTTTGTAGAGAATATGGAAATCAGTTTTTTAATTGGACGAGCAATGTTTAGAAGGTGGTTAACCATTGCGCCCCAATTTGTCCCATCTTTGTGGTTGTCGAGCTAACTAGGGAGATGTACTTTGATTCTCTTACCCAAGTGCTTGGTTGTATGTCTAACGTACCTGGACCCACAAGGATAAGTATACCGGTAGATTATCGTAGGCATCCTTCGGTAAACGATTAGCAGACATTCGTACCATGTGTCAAATCCAACATAAGTTGTTATCCTTACTATTCATCTGCAAACGGTACACATTCGCGCACATCAACGTTGCGGACATGCTGGTGCCCATCCACTCTGGTGACGACTAAAGATCTTAATGAGTTTGAGATCATCAAATCGGAGGAGCCACGTTTTACTACCATAGAGGGAGGTAATCCCCAATGCAGTCGTGTGCACAACGCCATGAAGATTAAAGTAAATCCACAGAAGGCGCAGCCCCAGCATTCGCAGCGGCTGAACGAACTTCATGAGTCACGTACCCACCATTGTTAATACAACTACTAGGACCGACTAGCTGATTATCATCAAAATACAAATGGCTGAAAATGCTCGGTGAGTCTCAAAACACGTCGAAGGTTCAACGCGCAATCCAAGAGGTTCATCGGACGGCCCCGTGATTGTCGAACAGCGTTGCGATGTTGTCCGTATAATCCAAAACGATTAATTAAGCAGCTTACCTAAACTATGCACGGTAGGAAGCAAGTGAAGTAAGGAAGGACAAGTACGAAAATGTGGAGTGTGGGAAGTGCATTGTTGCGAAGCTCGTATAGCCCCAGGAAGCTTGCGCAGGTTTCGCCCGAGCTCACCTCAGCCGGTACTATCACCATACATTACTGTATCTGCCTTTTCGAGCCGCAGTGAATCAAATGAGCCACACTCGGGACACTGTCTGCCGAGTTAAGCCGCAGTTAACCAATCGAGCTCAAATGAGTTTCCCTCAGGACACTACTACTGGGTGACAATTCATGTGCCTTACTAACATCCACCCTTTCTTTACATTTTATGCATTACATTAGTATACTTACTATTGAGTTAGAAATACGAAGGTGTAGAAGGTATGATTCGGCCTTGGCTCAGTCGGTAAGTGAACTTTTGCTATAGACCATTCTCTCTTCTCTGGGACTCGGCGCAGTCGTGCAAGGTTTTGCGTTTCGTCCCCAGCCTCAGCTCGCATGTACGATGACCGGCGACTGCGTCACTTGGGCCGCAACGATCCGAATTCTACTGCTTACTACTCCGCACGTGGAGTATGTTTGTGAAAAGCATGTCGTGCGTTTCGGCTAAGATTCGAAACAACCCTAACATGTAATAGTGTGCATTTATAATCAACGAGAGCATTGGCCATGAGATAATTAAAAAAGTAAACAGAATGGTGTGTGAAGAAAAACCCAAAGTTGATTTCATGGCCAACCATGAAACAGCGAGAAAAAATAACTTACTATTCAGATACTCCGACTGTGAGTTTCTAAATGCCATCGATAACTCTTGTAAAGTACGCGCCAGACTGCAGAGGACATTTTCTGCCAATTTCCGAGCCTGTGACCCAGGCCACAAGGTGGGTGATCGCTTCATTGCAAATAACTGACCCAATTGTTTGTGAGATAAACCGAATATCTAGAAGGTGAAAAGTAAACAAATTCGGGTTGGATGGGTTCAGCACGCGAGGTGGACAAGCAAGAAGAGACGGATAAACTCCTTGGGAACGCTAAATGGAACGGTTAAGTTCCCAAGCAGAAATACTCAACTGGAGAGATTCTCCATCACACAATAATGATGCCCTTTAGAAATACATTCCGCTAATCGAGTGACAACGGAAGAGAATACGATCCACACGATCTAGGCAGATCATTGCCAAGTTGGTGCCAAAACAGGCATTGTTAGTTTCAGCCATAAAATATTAATAACATTCGAGTCGAGGAACGTTTGGGTAACGTGGGGAAGTACGGTTCGGGTTGGCAAATTGGTCTTCGATGGTATCCTGTCAACAGGATGCAAATGCAAATGATCTCCAACAGTGTGTAATCGTTGCTTACTGATGCTGTACAGTTTATTCGAGTGACTTGTGAACTGTGTTCCCGTTCTTCTGTCTATGCAATTTCGCGAATATATGATGATGAACATTTTAGTCTATTCGCAGTCGAGATTGTAATAAGATGAAAGTGCACCCATCCACGCATTTAAAACGTATTTTGACTAGTATGTATGTATGTATATTCACAAGTCTGTATACAGGCAATGTGCCAGCAGAACCATGGCAAAATGGAAGACAATAGGCGTACAAAAGAAAACAAGAAAAAAGTTCTTTTTGGGTTTCACACACGCCGGTTTGAGTTTTTTAATATATACATATATACTTGAGATGAATCAACAGATAAAATGGCGCCACTGATGTCTGTTACGTTCCATCACATCCAGCGTTTGCAACCACATTAGTTCCGAGTCACGTGGTCCTCAACCTTGGAGGCACACTGATCCAACTGAAGCTAAGCTTAAGGCTGCTTTCTTCATGCTCCTTTTCCATGTCATTGGTTGTCCACGGCGACACTTCTTCCAATCGTTTCCGGGAAGCGCAAATAACGCTCGCCTGGGAAGGCGACAGGATGGCATCCGCAGTACCTAGCCGAGCCAACGCATGCGGTGTCGGAGAACAACGTTTTGAAGTCTAGGGCTGTTCGCTCCAGGCACTCGTTCACGAACCTCCGTATTGCTTATGCGTTGTTGCCACCACACATGAGCGATCGTTCACAGACAACGGTTGTCAAAAACTGACAGTCGCCTCACGTCTTCGGAGCGAACAGGCTAGGTCTCACAGCCGTGCAGCAGGACCATACGGACGGAAGCATTGTACATCTTGCCCTTGAGCTTGAGACTAACGTCAAGACGACGCCATAGGTGTCTAAGTTTGATGAAAGCAACACTTTTGCAATGCGCTGTGAAATCTCATCTCCAACACAGCCACCAGCCGTGATGCGACTCCCTAGATAAGTGAAGCAATCCCCTTGTTCCATAATGTCACCAGCAATTGTGAGCGCGGACGCAAGTCCCTGACAACCCTGAAACAGCATTTTACATTTGGCTGGGGTGAAATACAAGCCATAATTGGATGTCTCAACCGCTAAGCGGTTCAAAGTGTTTTGGACGGTTTGCAGACCGTCACTCAGCAAAGCGATGTCATCGGCGTAGTCCAAACCTACGATTCTGGCGCCAGGAAGAAGCTCAACATCGCAATTCGAGACACCATCCAGCGTTCGTTACACGACATCTTCGATGGCAAAATTGAAGAGGAAATGCGAAATAGGGCAACCTTGGCGAACGCCACTAGTGACAGCAAACGAAGAAGAAAGTCTGTCATAAGCCCTAATTTTACCCGACATGTGACTGAACTTCTTTCAGAATGACGATAAACTTGTCGGGCACACCTTTCCTCAGTAGACAATTCCACAAAGCAACTCTGTCTACTGCTGTGCGGATGTCCAGGAACACTACGGTCGTTGGTCGAAGGCGGACGTGGCGGAGCTGGAGAATTTGACCGAGCGTGAAGATCTGATCAATGCAACTTCAGTCTTGGCGAAAACCTGCTTGTTCTTTTCTGGAAAAATTCTCTGATGGAGGAAAGCCTGAGAAGTAAGATGAACACAAAAATCTTGGAAGCAACTGAGATCAGCGAGATTCCGCGAAAATTAGCGCAATCTTCGCGGGGGCCTTCTTGTGAAGTGAGACAACGATTGAGTCTCCCTATGAGTTAGGGACTTTCTCATCAGTCCAAAGGTTGGTGAAAAGCGGGAGAAAATCGCTGACAATTACATCCCAGCCATCTTTGAAAAGAGCCGAAAGAAAGTTGTCAGGGCCGAGAGCCTTATGCCGTTTCAAAGAACGGATTGCACTTCGGATCTTTACTTCAGTAGGTGGGTCACTGGAGACAGACCAAGCAACATCCGATGGAGATGGAGGTGCCACAGAGGGCTGTGCTGGGTAGTTAAATATAAGAGCAAAGTGCTCTGTCCAGCGCTCAAATCGCTTCTGCCGGTTGGTGATTTTTGTGCCGTCTAACTCAAAGATTGTCTGACTGATGGCACGTAAATTGCAACCGGTGGTCTTGATGAGGCGAAACAAATTGTGGCAGTTTCTAACCGATGCAGCGGCTTCCATCTGAGCAGCACGCCTAGATCACCAGGATTTACGGCCAGAGCGAAGGCTTGCTTTCATTTTTAATAAGAAAGATCGACGGATTTCGTTGTGCTCCATGCCAGCGAGCACGGCGCGTCGACGATCTAGAAGTTCCGAGGAAGTTGCCGAGGTCCAGCTTTTAGCTGTGCAGCAGACAAAGCCACAGCTGGACAAACGTGCGGACAGCGTGGCGTATTCCAAGCCATACCAGTGCTGGTCTGCACCCAGAGAAGAGGAGGGGGCGAGGTTTTCGCGAAACTTCTGTTGGTACTGTTTAGACTGCGGGATCTTCCAATTTGCAAATGTTCAGTCGGGGTTGTTTGACCCTTGTGGACCCACCGAAGCGCATGCAAATTGTCGCGTACATCAATGCATGATCGGCTTCCACACACGTAGACCAGTGTGATTGGCAATCGCGTATACTTCCACGCCATCTTTGACTTATGGCTATGTAGTCAATTTGCGACCAACGCTGGGTTGATGATGGAGAACGCCAGGTGGCATAACGTCGCCTGGGGTGACGAAAGCACGTACTGGAGAGGAAAAGTTGATGATCGGACACAGACTGAGCAATCTTTCTTCAATGTCAGAGCGAACATCGTCATATCCATGTGGCCTCCGGGGTGGTGTTCAGATGGAAGCAGCCGACCAACGCGTGAGTTGAAATCTCCAACCATAATGATGATGTCCGTTCTAGGTGCCCTTAGGAGCAGATCATGAAGACTTTGATAGAACTGGTTCTTGACTGCATCCGAGCTGCAGCCAGTGGCAGCATAGATGGAGATCACATAAAGAGCACGCTTATCGGTTCGATGTCTGCTGAACTTGTAGGAGCCACGGAGCCTAATAGCACAGAGACGACTGCTGACTGGAATCCAATCAAGTAGGGCGGCCTCGGCTCTAGTACAGAGCGCAATCCCGACACCAGCTTCCCCAGAAGCGGCAGACTCAGCGTCATCAGAAAGGCAGAGATGAAAACGGGTGTCGGGATGGATTGGTGACAATGGCTGTTAGACTGTGTTGGGATCCTGAAGACGTGTCCCAGACAGGAAACAGACATCAATTGCAAGGGTTTCTAAGGTGCGTGCTAGTCCCATTTGTTGTCCGATCTGCAGTAGAGCGCGCATATTTAGTGTTACTGGCTTAAACCGAGTTCCAGGTTGCAGAAGCGATGATGGAAAAACATGTGACTGGTGGTTCCCTGTGAAGCACTGTGAGTTGGCAGATGTTGATGAAACGAATTCACCGGCGAAGACAAAGTTGTTCACCGTCGAGGAATCAGGCAATGAAGTGGATGAATAATACAAAACGTAATTGGGTGGCGTGTGATTGTAAAGCTGGTGCAGTAGCAAGAACGTGGAACAGCGTGAGAGCGAGAGCGTGAGTGTGTTTTCATGGCCCGGCAGTAGGCGAGATGCTACCCGGTTGCCTAGGCTGAAGTAGGGAGTTGTCTTAGGGGACTCCACCCCGAGCCTTTGGCTAAATAGCCTATCCACAAGGCAGCGGAGCGAATTCTGGGAATCGCGCCTATTGGGAGCCGGTGACCGAATTCTCAGTTCATAGGCCTTTCGTTTGGTCAGGTATCAAACAGGGGCCCAATCCTCCCCACAAATTCAGCAGCAAGCTGCTGGGATACAATGCTCCACCGGAGGGAAGCAAGGGACAGTGACCTTATTTAGTGGCGGGTCACATCCGCCACGTCGCAGTGTTGTTAAACGGACATTTGTGGCTTCTTATAGGGAGAACGCTTACCATGCGAAAACTCAACACGTCTTAGAACACTGCCGCTGAAACATTCTCTGGAACGGGAAAAACCCGAACCACCCAGTTGGCACCACGAGGAGGTAGTAGCTAGAATAAGAACGGTTAAATACTGTTATGTTATACTGGGAAAGTTCAGATCAAACAAAAAGGAACCGGTTGAGTAAGATGAACGAGTACGTGGGAGGGGATTGCCCAACCATGAGTTGCCCAGCGCTGTGCATCGGACTTAGGTTGCTTAAAAACAGAAGAAGAAGAAGAAGAAGAAGAAGAAACAAAGTGGAAAAATGAGCAGAAGTGAAGAAACAAGCGCAAAAACTGAAACGCAGCCTTGAAATGGGAGAGCAGCCTAATGAGTGAAAGAGTGGTTGTCAACTACCGCAGGCGCTTCCGACCAAACCGCGTGATTAGCCTCAATAGGTCAACAACCGGCGGGACAATCAGGGACGTGAGCGTTCAAGTAAGTATGTCCTAAATTTGGGGTCACATGAAATTCATTGGGGTTCCAGTATAACCTTTGGTGAAAGACAGGAAGGTCTAGCATCACTCTTGCGTAAGTCTGTCATAAATAACATTCTAGATGATAGAATCGGTGCGCCGCATTGGTAATCCTTCCTATCTCATTACACGTAATTCACATGTTTTAAGTGTGTAGAGATGTAGTAGGAAAGTCCATGGTTGTTAAT